AATTGAAATAAGTACACACTATAGAGGGAAATGCCTTGTCCATATTTCATGTCTGAGGTTTACAACCGCTTTAAGAGATATTGTTGGAGTTCAGGTTTAGGGGATTTTGGGTTAAATATGGTGTTAAGAGTTAATTAAAAGAGGTAGGTCAAAATGTGTATAGACCCTAACAATGAACTTCTCTTATTTGCTCCTTTTTGGTCTCTTAAACATACCATTGAAAGTGTTTTGTTATGTCTGTTTTTCAAGTGCAAAAATAAATGTTGATTTTTCCAAGGAGATAACTCCCTGTGTTGTATCCCTGTGCACAAGGAGGGGTTATGGAGATGAGGAGAGAGGAGGATATAAGGAAAGGCCTGTGTTCTTCGTTTTTTTCCCAAAGTTTATTAAAAAGGAATTGTTTTACATACAATGCAAAAGCATATCAGTCGTATGATTGGTTTAGTACAGGAATCAATAGAAGAGACATTGCACGAACAACAGAACTCGTAGCGAGAAATCGGTATCATAAAGAAACAAAGAAAACAGTTAAACTTGAACATCTGCTGGATAGCACCAAACAGCTGGGCAGACCCCAGAATATCTATAGGGGAGGTATTTGAAGGATCCTATAGTAAAATAATACAAACAAAAATGAGGAGGGGGGTGAAGTTGGGTAATGGTTAAACGATTGGCTTTTCTGCCCCTGGAAATGGAAGAACATCTGTCTGGTATAGGAGGGTGGGACTGTGTTCTTTGTATTCATCAGAAATTAAATGGGCAAGGCTGACACCACATGCTTAGGAATTCAGAGCCAGAAACATATGGGGATAATTTTAAAAAACGGAAGCAGAAAGGTTCCAACCAATCAGCTTCTATCTTCAGCTTGTTCAGTTAAGCTTTATAAATGAAAGATAGAAACGGATTGGTTGCCATGCACAGCTGTTTCATATTTTGGGTGCTCCAGTTTTGTTAAATTCCTCCCTAGGTGTTGTCATGAAAAAAGGACAGTAGGAGCACATTATGCCCTATTTTTAGGGTGTTTAAAGGGATAAACAGGTTTAAAATATGCATTTGTTGAAGATATGTACTCAATATGTTTTTTTTTTTCTTGACGTGCTCTACGTGGTAGCATGAAGTATCAAATGTTAATTTTAAACATTAAATTTAGTGATATGGTTTAGGTAGGGAGAGTGTTTGGTGTTATGATTTGCTTCACATAAAAAAAAGTTAGAGGTTAGGGATATTTAGGTGCATTGGTACTATTTACATGTTTTTAGTGCTGTGTCTATGGCACTAGAAACTACGAAAATGAATATACCGGATACAACATTCAGAACATTCTATAGTCCTTGAAGGAAACCTGTTATGAGAGGAATTTACACTGCTGATCTACTTCACAAAATGATGTGGAACTTCAACATACCATAAGCACCTGTCAAGGATCCCTCTGCAGGTAGCACTCACTTCGCCTATGGAGTCTTTTCACTACATTGCAATAATGAGATGTGAAAACTGGTCAGTTGTTCTGGACTTGAGTTTGTCTGCATTTCTCTCTATGCTGCCTAAAATTATATATATTAGAGATCTCATATAAGCATAAAATAAAACTTTATCTGCAGAGTACCTTATCCAATAAAAGTAAAACTCAAATTTCACATAAGCTTTAACATATTAGTGTAATGTAAGTTGTTTTCAATCTTTTTAAATCATCAGCTGACATTAAAATTAAACCTGGAGATCCAATCATGAAAGTCGTTGTTCATGTACTGGTACTATGGGGTGACAACTGTCTCCCACTTGTGTTCCTGCACTGTACTGCAAACCCGTCACCTGCACCCCTGGTGGAGCTTGCCACTGGATGTGCAAACACACAAGGCAAAGGCATGGAGACAGAAAGTGGTTGGAATTAACTGGAGGAGGTCAGCAGCACTGACATACAAAGATGGAAAAATGTAATAAATGTATTTTATGAAAAAAAGGCCATGTCATTTATTTATAGTATACTATGATTTAGAAAACTATGGGGTTGATTTACTAAAACCGGAGAGTGCAAAATAAGGTGCAGCTCTCTATGGTAGCCAATTGGCTTCTAATGCAGGCCACACGTGGAGTGAATTTGTTTCCTGCAACCAGTTTTGACAGGGGAATCCCTGCCACTGAGCCATTGTGTTCTCCCTGCGGCAGGGCGGGGGGGGGGGGGAACGGTCCCAGGCAGGAGAAGACAGTTATTATAGCAGCAGCTATTGATAATCGTATGTAAAATCTGGCAGGCTCATTGTACTCAAGTTTATTGATCGAACAATGCGGGTACATTCAGTTTAACCATACACGGTTCAGCAGGAACTGGCCGAGATGCAAACCGTCTATGGCCTACCTTCAGCTTGTTCAATTCACCTCCCTGGAGGTATTCCCGAGTGTAGCTCGGGGTAAAGTTTCAGCACCACAAGCGGTAACCCCGAGCTACACTCGGGAATACCCTGCAGCGCTGCTCCGGGATCTCTTTTTCACTTTCCTTGTCCTACGCTCCTGCAATGTCCCTCCTGCAGTGTCCCCAGCCGGCATCCGTCTTCCGGGTTCCATTCCCTGTGACGTCGGGACGTACGGGGACAGAACGGTGGGAAATTTAAAAATGTGAAAAAGTGACATTCACTAAATACACTAAAATTACATAGTAAAACATTACTGTATCAAAGCATTTCACATACATTTTGTCCCTACTGCTTTGTCCTGTCCCCTGCCTGCATATTTACTGTTCTTTCTGTCTGGAAACTGAGAAATGTTCATGGCATCCAAAAAGCGTCCCTTTAGGTCAAAAGCGGTTTTAGATCGGCTAGAAAACAGCGATAGTAAATTAGAACCACTTGCAGAATTGAGTGATAATGATTCGTGGGGAAATTCGTCATCAGACACTGAAAACTATTTTGTGACTTTGCTCAGTGATGTATGAACTTGGTGCTATATTTCAAATTTCAGTGTTTTTGGTTTGATTATATTATTGAATTAAATTTATTATTATTATATTATTATTTTTTATGATTATTTATTAAATTATAATTTATGATTTCGTTTTTCAAATTTTCACATACCCGGGATGTTTACTAGACTCTTGTTCAGACAGATTTCAGTGAGCTATTCCTAAAAATTACAGGCCTACAATAAAAAAAATACATATTTCCATGCAAAAAAATGTACTGCTTTGAGCACAGAAATACTGACATAATAAAGACTGCTAGGGAGGCTATGCTTTGACAAAAAAAAAAAACTGGAAGCTGATTGGTTTCTATGCAGAGTTGCACCTGACTTTGCACTGTTCAGTTTTAGTAAATCAACCCCAATTTTCATCTAGCTATTTTTTTCTTCAAATACATTTTTATTTTAAATATCCTCCCCAGTCTTGCATGAGAATAATCATGTTCAGTTCTATGAAAAATGATTCAACTCGGCATACAGTACACTGTACCAGATGAATTAGTCTTGTTACAAGCCTGCCATTCATATTTAACTCTCAGAATATTCAACATGGTAGCTCTTATAATAGTTATACGGTATGATGGGTGCTGAGAAATGTATTTTATGCTCATTAAAGCCTATATGACAAATACCAATTCTTGACACCATGGCAATTAAAGAATAAAACGGCTATAATTTAATTTATTTTGTTTCTGACAATTTTATGAGAGTTATCAGAACAACTGCACAAATGCTGTAATTGGCTATTCAGGCTCTGAATGGCTAATTTGTGTGATTTCATTTTATTTAGTTAGGTAATCAGTTTTGTGAGATTGTGGTTCAGTAATCATTTAGCAGCTACATTTCTACGAAATAAAGTTAAAGAGGAACTCAACTCAAAACTATTATTTCCATTTCATGGGCTTGCTGGCATGTTCAATTACATGGTGAATTCTTGAAAGGAGCTCAGCTGTGGGAAAGGGGCTTGGTTTATCTCAGGATCATATGATAATGAAATGGTGATAAAATCAACCCACCAATGCCCCCCAAAAACTTTGTGTCAGTAAAACTTGTCAGAAGTGACTCATGCTGATAGCATAGGAAGGAGGCAGCACACAGAAATGACACATATAGCTCTGGATTGAGCCGATTACACACTATAGAGGGATATGCTTGGTTCACATTTCATGGCAGAGGTTTACAACCGCTTTAACATTTCCATCAGTATTTTACACAGTTTTAACAATTAGAGTAAAATAGACAATGTATCACACTATATGTTTTGTAACCTGTCAAAGGTAATCAATAAAGAATGTTGTTAAAGGGCACTGTTTTCATTGATTTATCATGAATCCATGCATGAAATCAAAAGTCCTTGTAGGTTTCAGAAGGTGATTTGGCAATATTAAACGAAACATACTGTATCTATATTCACAGCTGTACACAATGATAAACAGTGGGTTTAATTTAGTAAAACAAATAGAGAAATGTTCTTGTTATGAAATCAGAACACCAGCAAAAATAACAAGATACAATGTGTAGCCCATTAACCTCCCTAGCGGTATGATTATTTCAGATTTTTGGTGCTGAAAGCGGTACCATTATTTTGCATGGAAATATGTCAATATTGCTGTGCTCAAAGTGGCACTTTTTTGCATGGAAATATGTCGTTTTTTTATTGTATGCTGTAATATTTAGGAATAACTCACTGAAATATGTCCGAACAAGAGTCTATTAAACATCCTGGGTATGATAAAATTTTAAACACAAAATCATAAATTATAATTTAATAAATAATCATAAAAAATAATAATATAATAATAATACATTTAATTCAATAATATATTCAAACCAAAAACACTGAAATTTGAAATATAGCGCCAAGTTTGCACATCGCTGAGCAAAGTCGCAAAATTGTTTTCAGTGTCTGATGACGAATTTCCCCACGAATCATCACTCAATTCTGCAAGTGGTTCTGATTTACTATCGCTGTTCTCTAGCTGATCTAAACCCGCTTTTGACCTAAAGGGACACTTTTTGGACGCCATGGACTTTTCTAAGTTTCCAGGCAGAAAGAACAGTCAAAATGCAGGCAGAGGACAGGACAGAGCACTAGGGACAAAATGTATGTGAAATAGGTTTAAACAGCAATGTTTTACTATGTAAAATCGTTTTGAAAAAAATGACATTTTTTAAAAATTTTCAAATGTCCCGCTGCCGCCGGCGCCGCTCGTACGTCCCGACATCACAGGGACTGGAACACAGGAGCCGGATGCCGGCATCAGCCGGAGGAGATGGCTGGGGACGCTGCAGGGGACACATCGTGGGAGCGAAGGACAAGGTAAGTGCTGCAGGGACTCCCTATGCAGCGCCGCATGGTAAGTCCGAGTGTAGCTCGGGGTTACCGCTTTTGGCACTGACATTTTACCCCGAGCTACACTCAGGAATACCGTTAGGAAGGTTAAAAAATAAAATAACAACAGTCCAGAGATTTCCCCAACAATACTTTATTTTCACCTCAACATGTCCTCAGTCTGAGGGCCTGCATTATTCAACCCACTTCCTCTGAGACCAGGTTGTCCTGGACTCACCTCCTGCCTGTAACGGGACAGTGAAAGGAGAGGCAGCATAGTGATCTATCTCTCAGTTGCACTGCTTTCTCTTCTAATCAGCATGTATCTTGTGTACACATGACATGATTGGCTTTTGTTCTGCATCTTCCTCTCACATTCCAACTCTGCTGTACTGGGACTGCAGGGGGATGAAATTCAAGTTTTAACACCGCTTGAATTTAAAAACACATTTACTTCTGTATCAATGAATAGAGATCTGCATTGATTTGTAATTTTTATAACTGCCCAGAATTTATCTTTCAGACCTCATGCACAAGGCATCTCAAAAAAACTTCTTCTTCAGGAGTTTGAGCTTTTTTTTTCCTCTACCTGTAAACTCCCCTCCATATTAGCCTAGGAGTTCATGATACTTTAGGTGTTTTCAGGAGTTTCGTGGCATCACTTGTGCATTCAGGAGAGTAGCTTTTGAACATAAAAACTCTCAAAGGCGTGTTAACACAATTCATTTATTCTAATTGACAGAATTCTAGCCAATAGAAAGCATTAACAGCAGATTCAGAAACACAAATGAATGCACATTATTGCGTGCAAATACACATCTTTTTGATGCTGCAAACTCCTGTAGGAGAAAAAATATTTTTAGGTTTGCAGTGTGCTTACGGCCTAAGTACATGGTAATAAGTACAGTGAATATGCTTTCATCTCAATTATCCAATCATGTGTAAGCTAAAAACCCATTTTTTTTTAATTCTCTTGCATGTGATTGGGTATCAAAAAGCCCCAGAGCTTCACTGTTATCAGTTTGCACAGTGAGCATTATCAATTCCTTTAGTAACCACTTGCCCTCCGCCCTATAGCAGAATTACTGCTACAGGGTGGGAAGGCTGCGCAAAGTCACATATATACATGATTTGCATTTCCGGGGAGGTGGCACGTGCATGCGCGTCACCCTACCCATTGCGCGATTGGTGGCTAGAGATGTTGATCATCGGGCAGATCTGACAGGGGAGCGACCTGTGTGTAAACAATACAGGTCTTTCTCTTGTCAGCATAGACATGCTGCTCTGTATCTCTCTGCACAACAGTCTCCCTAGTAAAACACAACACAGTTCACACAGTAAATCACACAAAGCACACTATTAACCCTTTGATCGCCCCAGATGTTAACCCCTTCCTGCCCAGTGTCATTAATACAGTTTCAGTGCTTTTTATTAGCACTGATCACTGTATTAGTGTCACTGGAGATGTCAGTGGCAGTTAGTCAGTTCCCACCGAGTATCAGAATGCCTGCAGCAGTTTCGCATTCCCGCTATAAGTCGCTGATTGCCATCATTACTAGCATAAAAAAATTCCAGTATATATACTGCCATTTGTAGGCACTATAACTTTCATGTAAACCAATTAATTTACACGTATTGGGATTTCTTTTTAGCAAAGACGTAGCAGAATACATTTTGGCCTAAATTTATAAAGAAATTAGATTTTAAAATTTTTTTATTGGATATGTTTTATAGCAAAAGTCAAAAATGTTTTTTTTTCAAAATTGATGGGTTTTTTTTGTTTACAGCTCAAAAAAAAAAAACGCAAAAAAAAGTGATCAAATACCACAGAAAGAAAGCTCTATTTGTGTTAAAAAAAATGACATAAATTTCATTTATGTACAGCGTTGCATATCTGCGTAATTTTCAGTTAAAATAACGTAGTGCCGTATAAACAAAATGGCCTGGTCAGGAAGGGGGGGTAAATCCTCTGGAGGGCAAGTGGGTAAATCAACCTTGATATATCTGAGTTCTGCAATTACTGAGTAACTTTTCGAAATGACGTTTCCATATGATCTATTGGTGCTATTTCTACTTGCCTTTCTAAGTCTACAATGCAGGCATGTAACAATGTCTATTGTTGAATTGTACAGTTCAGGTGAAAACATAAGCTTCTCTGCTAATCAAATTAGCATTTTCTTGGCTGTAGATAATGATGTTGCATGTCAGAAATTAGTTTAGTATTGATTCTTTGTCTCAAGAGTAAAAGATCATAAACTGCACGTGCATTGTGTGTTGATCATACACCCCTTTTTAAAGGCTTATTAAAGACCTATATTCATTGGTCATTTTGGTTCACTTTTGTAAAGTTTTCTTATATACTGTATATAGTATATTTAGAATGTTTTGTTGTACTTGGCAACCCTGGATATAATATTTATCTATAGATACTTAATATCTGAACGAACAAAACTTTGACAGTATTTGCTGTACTCCCCCCCCCCCCCCTCTTTCTCATTTTATTATTCCCTTTTTCTCTTTTTCTTCTGGTTATTTTTTATGTTGGCCAGATTTTGAAAACCTGGATCCTCTGTTTCATGATTGTTTGAAGATACCTTGATGAAGCCTGTACTATATGATTATTCTCCTACAATCTTACTTGAACAAGATATTAGATATTCCTCATCTTTGGTAATATTGATGAGTATTTATCTTTGCTTGTGTATATATTCTGGATATTTTATGCCTTTTATTATTGACCATATGTTTATTGTTTCCATATCTGTTATAATGTTACTGTTCTTGTATTATGACAAGAAAACCAATAAAAAGATTCAAATTGGCAGAATTTTTTTTGTGTGAAAGCTTTTCAAATCTGTCTGGTGCCACTTTTTTGTACCAGTTCAAAAAATGTGTAGGCTGTGTTAATGTATTAGGGAAATTAGCCTGCACTCACTTTCAGAAGCATGGATTTATGTTAGTGGTCCATTTACTCTGCAAAACATTGTGAAATTTTGCAGCACTATATAAATGAACTACGGTAAATACAGCACATTATAATGAGACATATATGCTATATAGTTTTAATGAAAATGTTTAGACTCACATTCAGAATCACCCAACACACATTAATTTAAAGTGGGGCTCCAGTCAAAAATAAAAGTTAGCAGCTACAAAAACGGTAGCTGCTGAATTTTCAAAACCAGACACTCACCTGTCCAGCATTGTGCTTACCGCAGCTGGTTTTACCAGCCTCCTTCTCTCCCTGGCACTGGCATCTTAAGTGTGGGCAGCTGGCTGTGACAGCTTGTAACTTCACATCTGGCTTGCCCACTGCACATACACGAGTAGCGCTGTACCTTGTGAATGTTCCCGTAGTCTTATGGAACCTGTCACGTGTGAAGTGAAGCAAAAAGAAAGAGCGCACCAACCTTGTGCATTACCTCAGTAATTCAGAGTGATTTTATTAAATAAAATATATATATACTCACAAACAAGGATGTAAAACACTTCTTCATCAGAGCTCTGATGAAGAAGGGTCTCCCTTTGAAACGCGTCAGTCTCACTTTGAGATTCTGCCGTTGTGACATGACTCACATTGGCTCTACACTCCCCAGTTCCTGTCAGGATATGTAATGCTTGTTTTACATCCTGATGGGCAGCGTTGATGGGCACTGTTAGGCGGCACTGATGGCCAGAATTGATGAGCATCACTGATGGGCACTGTTAGGCAGCACTGATGGGCATTGATAGGCGGCACTGATGGGCACTGTTAGGTGGCACTTATGGGCACTGTTAGGTGGCACAAATGGGCACTGATAGGCGGCACTGATTCAACTGATGGGCACTGATTGCCAGCACTGATTGCCAGCACAGATGGGCACTGATGGGCACTGATGGGCAGTATTGGGCGTACTGATTGGGCTACACTAATCATCAGGACACTGATGATCAGTGACCTGATGATCTGTGTAGATGTCCCCCTGTGAATTGCCGCTTACCAGCTCTCTGCCGAAAACCGGCATTTCCTAGTTACCGGGTGATCAGCTGTGATTGGACACAGCTGGTCACATGGTAAAAGCAGCTGTGATTGGCCCGTTCCTTAGTCATATGATCAGCTGTGTCCGTAGGGGGCGCGTGGGGGGGCACTGTTCTGGGAGGATGTACATGGACACCCTCCCAAAACTAGCCGAGAGCGCTGTAGTCGACTTTTGGCTATAGTGCTCTTGGAAACTGGTTAACAACCATTTTATAGTCTTTATGCTGACTTGCTTCTCTGGTCTTAACTCTTTTTCTGATGGACAGAGAAGTACAAATATGCATATTACACAAATATGGTGAACAACTTTACAAATTGGCAAAGTTGGGTAGCACCCTCCTAGATAAGTGCTAGGATTTGTTACATTTAGTGCCGGCTCACTGTGTTCATTGGAGCTGTGTGTATTTTAGTCAAGTACATTTATCTTGCTTCACTATATTAAGTGTGGCTTCAATTGATTAGTTAGGTCTGTTCAGTGTTCTCAGCTGCTGCCAGTCTGATAGCTCCCTCTGCTTTCCAGAAATCAGTAGAGCTTTCTGGATTGTAGGTGTGGAGCTATGTAGATGGCAGCATGAATATTTATACAGCCCTTTCCTATCCCAGGGAGCAGGACCCTGATGCCTGCTGGGAGACTGTATATATTCTCTGAGCTTGGGGTCTTGTCATGCGTAGGATTCGTCCAGCCCTCCAAGGCAACACTGCCATGTGCTTGCTGTTCGAGAGGTCTCAAGTGGATGCTGAAGCTACTGAAAGCTGACTGAATGGCTGTCTGCTGAAGATCTGTTCTGGCATCACTGGAGGAAAGATTCACTTGGTAGTTGGAAGGAGGCAGACAACTGTCCCCAAACATTTTGTGAGTACAGACTGCTGAGAGATCTTAGAGACTTTGGGCTGCTGCCACCCTATAGAGTCAGCTGCTTGTTTTCTAAAGAGGACATTGGCTGGTGTCCTGAAGAGTTTAGTCTAACTAGTAATCTGTAAAGGAACTCTATTCTTGTTGCTCTAAGGAAAGAGCCTGTGTGTTTTTAGCTGTTTCTACTACAAGTCATGTCCATAGTTTGCTATATGTAAGGAATTCTGCTTCAGCCTTACAGAAAGGAGTTCACCGTCCACAATTTGTACATAGTTATTGTTTAAGGAATATCCCACTCAATTCCCTCATCCCTATCCAAATTCTCCAAAAATAAAAACAACCAAAAACAACACCCCTAGACTGGTTAGTGAGGAAATGATTGACTGTGCCTATGGGCCTGGCTGCAGAGTAATCCACTGGGGAAGAACCTGGGCAATTTTCCAGGAGCTCCAACAGGAGTAAGTGCTACAAATGTTAGTAATGCCATAGTCTATGAAAAAAAAAACAGTTTTGACCTTTGACCACAAAGCTGCACTAAAAACATCATTAGTTCTTTTATAGGCGAAAAATGTAAGATTATGTAATGTACAATACAATATGGCATATAGCCACTGTTTGGAACATACAGTACATTTGCAGCAATTAACAGAATAAATTCCTTTGGAATCATACAAATATGACAAGTAGCTACTGAAAACATATACATTGTAAATAGAAAAGTACTTAGGTTAAGTCACCTATTACATTTTCATATTCAGATTAAAGTAAAAGTGATTATTACAGTTTTAGTCTCTCTATACCGAGTGTTTAGTCATATGCTTTTTATATGTTTTGAACAATTCTTTTAAAAATGGTTTAAGTGCCCTGTAGAACATATAATTTAAAAGTAGTTAAACAACTTTACCTTTTAAAAATTCAGCATTACCCAACTGCGAGAAGAGTGAGTTATCATGGAAACAAATTCCTCTCTTTATCAAAATATGTGCAGATTTTTTAGAAAGAAATATAAGAATGCCAGCTATTCATTATCAACCACACAGATGTATGATCTTTATTACACTTTTAGGGCTTTAAAAACTAAGGTACAGAATGTATTGTACAAATTAAGTTAAAAAAACAAATTTAATAAATTGATTTTCTTTTCGTTCTTTCTATATTTTGCATCACTGTGTATACCGTTGTATTTTGTTGTGGGAGTCCATTATTGCTGGGAGAATCTACTGTTGCTGAGGGGTCTAATGCTGCTGGCTGCGGGGAATCTATTTTATTGCTTTTCTTGTTATCATTAACAAATTCCACAAACATTACTTAGCACCACAAAATTATACTTGCCTCTGTATTCTCTATAAGGAGCAGTACTTGGAGGTGGGTGTTCGAAGGTGGGTAGGGGGATCAAAGACAATAAGTGACTCAGAAGGAGGGGGGGAGGGGTTCTGCACCTTTTCTCTGAGAAAAAAAACTCTGGTTGTCACCCATAGTGGTTCAACACAGTGGCTCTTTACAGGCATTTTGTAAGCCATTGTGTGTACAGTAAAGGAGGAGCTACACTGGTGGCCAAAATTGTGGATACACCTTCTGATTTTGTCAGTTTTGGTATCTTTACTTACTCCCTTGTATTTTCCTTCTAGACATTAGCTATTCTATGCAAATGGTAAACAAAATATTTTTGACAACAGATGATACAAGTTTTGAGTTATTTTAAGCAGATTTACTGAAAATTATCGACAGAAAGCTAGCTGGTGAAAATGTGAGGAAATTTTGCCAATTTTCGTTTGTATATTATTGTGTATATGTTTTAGTATTTGGTCAGAATAAAGCATTATGTTGCATAACAGAGATTCTAGTTGCAATGCCTGCAATTTTATATAGAGCTTAGGAAACTATTTTCCATTTTATTTATTTTTTAAACTATTTTAGAATAATTAAATTAATTAAAATAATATTGTGCTGTTTTGACCTAGAATGTCACTAAAGAAAAAGAGCAACAGCAATAAGCAATTACATTAAGAAATTAAGGTTATAGTTGTCGCAAAATTGCTAGGAAAATGTGTCAAGGAGTTTTTGCATCTGGAGTCCAGAAGCTGTGTGTGCACGATTTACGAACGCCAAAAGTATCAAAACACAGCAACGCAGAGGAAGGAAAAAAGCTACAACACCCAAAACTGACAGAAGAATTGCAAGACTTGATTTACAGAATAGAAAATCCTCTGCCAAGGATATCAACAAGGTGTTGTCAGATGGAGGACTCTCAGTGTCTGACCGAACAGTAAGAAGTCGACTTGTTGCTGCTGGTTTAAGAGTTCGAACACCAAGAAAAAAACATTTTTAAACTGCCAACAAAGAAAGAAAAGAGTCGAATGGGGCAAGGAACATGAAAATTGGACGACAGAAGATTGGAAAAAAAATTATTTGGAATTTTTATTTTCGGAAGTGATGGTGTTCGATACGTACGAAGAAGGTCAGGCAAAGAATGCCTTCCTGAGGGCATGACAGCAACAATGAAACCCCCTCAAAACATCATGATATGAAGCTGCATGTCTTGGTATGGTGTTGGACAAATGCAGGTTATTGATGGCATTATTAATGCACCAGAGCGATACATCAAAGAGGTCCTGGAACCAAAGTTGATCCCATCAACAAGAGACTTAGCGGACAAAGGCACAGAATTTACTTTTCAACAGGATGAAGCTCCATGCCATACACCTTGTAAATGCCTTAAATGGTTCAATGACAAGAAAATTCCTCTGCTTCCCTGGCTTGGAAATAGCCCTGACTTAAATCCGATCGAAAATCTGTGGTCAAGATTGAAACGCACGGTCTCGAGCAAGAATCCAAGCAAAAAGCAAGGATTCATTGAGGCTATAATTAATTCCTAGCATCATTTTATCACAGAAGAGGATGTCAAAAGACTTGTAGAGTCAATGCCTAGAAGGTGTCAGGCAGTAGTTAAGGCCAAAGGCTATCCAACACATTATTGAAAAAACACCTTGTGACAAACTTGAAATTATCATTTTTATGCTATATAATAGCCAAGATGCATTATGGTACATTTCCAGCCAAACATTAACTTATTTAAATATTTTTTAAAATTAAAATTTTACTTGTGCTATGACATTTTTAGAGATTTTTATATAAAAAGTACTTTAACCACCTCCCGCCTGCCATATAGTCCATTGGCGGGCGCAAGGTGGTTCTCTCGTTCTGGGAGGATGTCACATGACGTCCTCCCATTCTCACCGCGCATGAGCGGCTCAGGGAGTGAGCAGCGCGGCAATCGGTGGTGCGCTGTGTCCCTCGGACACAGCAGATCACGATCCACGGAAAGAGCCGAAGAGGTCGGCTCGGTCATGTGATCAGCTGTGTCCAATCACAGCTGATCACATGTAAACAGGGAAATGCCGGTTATCGGCATTTCTCTCCTGACGAGCTGTCATGCTGAAGGAGAAAAATCACTTATTTACAAAATTTTATAACAAAAACTAAGAAAAAACTTCAGTGGTTTTTGGTTTGTTTAAGAAAAAAATAAAAAACCCAGAGGTGATTAAATACCACCAAAATAAAGCTCTATCTGTCACAAAAAAATGATAAAAATTTCATATGGGTACAGTGTTGCATGACCGTGCAATTGTCATTCAAAGTGTGAGAGTGCTGAGAGCTGGAAATTGGCCTGGGCAGGAAGGGGGTATAAGTGCCCTGTAGGCTAGTGGTCAAACTGAATAAGTTGTATCCATAATTTTGGCCACCAGTGTAATACAGAAGGCAGATCCCCAGCATTCACATGATGAGGATCCTATCCAGAGAAATTCCTCCCCTAGAGCAAGTACCCCAGCACCTCATACTATATGGGTTCTCTGTAGAGTAAAGCCGGCCATGGATGGTTCATATCTCAGTTGGTTCAGCAGGAACCATCCATATATGGGCAGGCTGAGTGTACCCAAGTTGATCGATTGGTCAACTTTGGTACAAACAGCCTGCTGGATTTTACATGCGATTATCACTAGTGGCTGTTATTGCCATGAGCAATAATCACTTTCTTCTCCCAGCTGGGGCGGCTCCCCCCCCCCCCCCTCTGGGGAGAACACAATGGCTTGGTGGGTGGAATGCCCCTGTCAGCACTGTCTGTGGTTGGTTCTGTGGTTGCAGGAAAGAACTTTGTACCATCTACAGCCTGCCTTAGCCTATTAGTTCTCTAGAGCCATGTTAGATATCCTATTGATTATATTATGAAAGGCACTTCTGCACACCTTTCCTTGGAGAGTCCATTTGTACAATTTTTTAGCCAAAACGTCCACTTTTGTTAAGCCATAGAAAAGGTGTTAGTCACAGCTACACTCAATGATTATTTGTTTATTAGCTTTATGGAGTGATACCATCATTTGGATTTGTAATAGCTTCACCACAAAATGAGGTACGTCAATCACACTAAAATCTGCAAGGGATGTAGCAAGTCAGCATGTTAGATCAGTTGTAAACAGCAAAAAAAGCAAAGGAAAAAAATCCTCTGCAGGATGTCATTATTGTGCTAGGCTAGTATACACTGCATACTAGTACATTATGACAGATGTATGTTAAAACAAAGCCCTCCAGCGGCGTGCTGTCACTGCTGCTAGGGCTTCCATCTTCAACTAGTCTTCTTTCCGGGATCGCAGGCTTTGATTGTTAGAATGGCCGAGCCATGAACATGTCACTCTCGTGCATGCGCACAGTAGTCACGTGGCACGGAGCTCTGAATGGACTGAGCTGTTCATTCAAAGCGCAGTAGGCATGCACCAGTGACATCAGCAGCTGCTACTAAATTAAATGGTTTATGTTTAGGAAATATTTACTGTAGCTATAGGTAAGCTTCAATATAGGCTTACCTGTACATATAAATCAAAAATCAGATGCTACTACCTCTTCATTAACTTTATAGCAAATGCATAATGCTGAAATTTGGGTGCACATGGCCTTTAAAGATGTGTTCTCCACCTCTCACAACTTAATATAATCAGTGGAAACCAGATCCTTCTCCTTCTTCCTAGATCTTCTCAAAAATTAAAGTGTGGTTAGGTATTACAAAAATGTCTGTTTCTTTACAATGTGCTCACTGTGTTTGATTCTGCACCCCTTGTCTTGGTGTACATGTCCTCTAACCTGTGTGCTGTCTATCATGTTAGTGCCTTCCCCTTCCTGAATACTGAATGGATACTGAATGAAATCTGCACTGAAAGAAGTACTGTATGTAAGCTGCCATTGCTGATATCCTTCTGAAAATGCAAGTTGTCTAATAGGGATGAGCTCAAGGTTCTGCCTGAGCACACGTTTGGACTAAACTTTGGCTGTTGAACGCCCCCACATTTACTTGTGCCTGTGCCTGTCCCGGTGACATCACTGACCATATATGGTCCTATCTATATACTGTATAGTCAATGATATCACTGGGAGACCCCCTCTTCCTTGTAATTAACCATTTCAATACCGGGCAATTTTACCTCCTTCTTGCCCAGGCCAATTTTCAGGTTTCAGAGCTCTCACACTTTGAATGACAATTGCGCGGTCATGCAACATTGTACCCAAACTACATTTTTATCATTTTGTTCACACAACTAGAGCTTTGTTTTGGTGGTATTTAATCACCACTGGGGTTTTTATTTTTTGCTAAATTAACAAAAAAAGACAGAAAATTTCGAAAAAAAAAAAAACATGTTTCTGTTATGAACGTTTGCAAATAAATATTTGTTCTTCATAAATTTAGGCCAAGATATATTCTGCTACCTTTTGTGGTGTAAATAACCCAAATCATTGTTTATTATTTAGTTTGTAGGAAAGTTATAGAGTTCACAAACTATGGGATATATCTGAAAATTGATCAGTCCTGAAGTAATGACAGCCAATCTAATTTCTTGAGGCCCAAAAATGTCAGAACAGTACAGATATCCCCCAAATGACCCCTTTTTGCAAAGTAGACAGTCCGACGTATTTCATAAGAGGCATGGCAAGTTTTTTGAAGTTGTAATTTTTTTGTCATAATTTTTTTTCACATACTGCAACCAGTGTAGTACAGCCTCACCATATAACTGGTGTGCTGGTGATCAGGGACACTGACTGGTGACAGTATGAAAAACAAATTGATAATTTTTTTTCAATTTTCTTTATTTTTTTATATTTTTTTTATTTTTTATTACTTTTTTTCTCTTTTTTAAGATTTTTTTTTTTTCATATTACACTATGACCAAAGTAGTATAATGTTACCATAGTAACATTATACTACTTTAGGGAAGTGATCAGAATTTGTTTTTTACACAATTTGATTGCTTATAGCAAAGAATTTCTTTGCTATAAGCAAGCATTTAACTGAATGAAATTGATTCATTCAGGTTTTTTTGTTGTGATTAGATGTGATTGGCCACGGCTAATCACATGACACAGATGGGCTGTGATTGGCCCAGCCTGTGCATATGATCATTGTAACCATTCACAGTTAGACACACTTGTATACAATGGATTGCATGAAAGAAAACCATCCATTGTATACATCTGTCATGTGACCTGATGTGATTGGTCACAACAGGTCACATGGTACTGGCAACGGGGCTGATACACAGATCTGTCATTGGCCGTGTCCGAGGTACACAGCCGGTGACAGATCTTGCCACAGCGCAGCCCTGTGGACACAAGCAAGGCGCTATCCGGGAAGGAAATTATATGACGCCATCCCGGAGGGATGAGAGGTTCACCCGGCCATCATATTACTATAGGCCGGGCAGGAAGTAGTTAACAGCTGTCCTGCACTAGACTTGACATTTGGTGGGTGACAAGTGAGCATACAGGATGTCTTTTTTTTCTTTTGGGGTAGTCTGTGATCACCAGGCATCATGACTGATGTGGATCTATATCACTGGTTGATGTAATTCACAATGGATTTACAATGAGGGTATTTTGGGGGGATTTTTATTTTTTTTTTTTGATAAATGACTTGTTAAATGTTTGAATGTCTATTTCTATGCTGCATTTTTTTTGTGAATGAGCAGGGGTACCCTATTCATATGGGGAGAGGCAGTATCTGAGTGCTCTTTTATTGTTATTGTTATTATTGTTAAAAGGCCTTGCAGATTATGAAAAGTCCCTTACAGCAGCAGTCCCCAGCACCACTGACCAGGGTTACTGACCAGGGTTGTTGGGGAGAGACCTTTGTCCTCATCAACATGGGGAACGCTGCTTTGCTTGGGATTTTCCCCCTGGCAAGGTCCCCTCCCCCCTTATTGAGTGCATGTAGCCTGATATTTTTCAGGAGGGTACTCTTTTACCCTCTTTCCTGGCTAGCCAGGCTGCATGATTAGATAATGGTCTGGCACAGATTTTTAGGGGGGTGCCCAATGCGTTTTTTTTTTATGTGAGGTCCTCCCTAAAATATGTATCAGAACTGAAGGGTTTGAACATTAAAACAAGAAACCGCTGCACACCTGAACCGATTCTAGTAAGGATGTGTACAAGGGGTCGGGGTGAAATGCATCAGGAGTGTAGTCTAAGAAGAATCATTGTCCAAGGCTTTCACATGTACACATCCTTACTAAGATCGGTTTCTTGCGTTAATGTTCACCTCTCACTGGAGTTATTTTTCATGCCAGCATCTCTGTAATCCTGAGTACCATCAGGAATTCACACCTCAGCTTGGAGTGGCACCACTAAGCATAAATGGACAGCACTGAAGTATCTGGTATGAAATTCCTTTGGGACCTTACACAATTTTTTTTTTGCATGGGATACCCTGTTAAAGTCCATACTCTGCATTTTGGGGTGTCGGTGGGGGGGCAAATTTTTTATTAATTATTATTTTTTTATTCATTCTTGCTATGGCATGTTCTACACCTGAAGT